ACTCCCACGACTCAATGGGATGGACTTGTGAGCTCTCTTGAGAAAAATGTAATCCCGAATCCTAAGAGCATAGGGCTTTTGTCTAACCACTAACTCGGCCGGTTGTCCTCTGCTCGCAACCTGACCCAAAGATCTCCGGTCGTCATCGTCCGGGATGAGAACGTCTTCGTGCATGCATTGTGTTGCGTGCCTGGGGCAGGTATGGTTGGTTGTTTGTTTGTCTGTGTTTGTTTGTGCGCGCTTTCAGTCATTTGTTGGTTTGCTTGTTTGTTTGTTTGTTTGTTTGTTTGTTTGTTTGTTTGTTTTGTTTGATTGTCTGTGCTTGGATTGGCTTCGTACAGCTTGTTTGTTGTTTTTTGTGGTTTGCTTGATTGCTTTCTTGCTTGCTTGCTTGCTTGCCTGCCTGCCTGCCTGCCTGCTGCCTGCCTGCCTGCCCGCCGGCCTGCCTGCCTGCCTGCCTGCCTGCCTGCCTGCTTGCTTGCTTGCTTGCTTGCTTGCTTTTTTGCCTTTGTTTGTTGGTCTGCCTGCCTGCCTACTTGCCTACTTGCCTGCTTGCCTGCCTGCTGGTTTCTCTGTCTGCGGGTCGGTCGTTCGGTTTTTCTGGTGTTTGTCTTTCCCTGCCCTGCCCTGTCCTGTTCTGTCTGCTCTGTCCTGTCCTGTCCTGTATGTCCTGTCTGTTCTGGTCGGTCGGGGGGTCGTTCTTCAGTCGGTTGGGCTGTTGGTTTGTCGGCCTCTGTGTCTGTCTGTTTGGATGTCTGTCTGACAGGTTTTGTTCGATTGCTTCGTCTGATGCTTTGTTTGCAGATTCGTCGGTGATGGATAGGTGGATTCGTTTGTGCATATTGTTGGAGTTTCAGTCTTTTTTTGGTTGCAGTTTCCATCAAAGCTTTTTGGTTGGACACATTTGAGCAGCCAATCAATATCTAAAGTCCCTCGTTGGCCAATTTGGTAGTGGGTTTTACCACCTGGCATACTGGGGATTGTAGTGGGCCCTGTGCCAACTGTTATAGCCATGTTTGTAGAGCAAGCATCAGCGTTTTGTGTTCGGTCGCTTTCAACCTGTGACACATCCCAGGAGCTGGCAGAAGTCAACAATACAGGTTGGTAGCCTTAGCTTTTTGTCATGGATATGCCAAAACAACTGATATTGCTTGAATGCAGAGTTGAGACCCAAGAGATTGAGTGCCGCACAGAAATATGAAGATTACGCCAGATCTGGAAATGCTATACTTTGTCACAGAAGCCGAGGACGACCAGGCTGGGGTTTTGCGGCAAGAACGAGCTTGAAACGAGTGGATCGATTTGTGTAAGACTTGTGGGGGCGCGGATTGATACAATGCTTTCGGGCTTGGGCTTGTCCGTCATGGTGCCCACGCTCTTCGATTGGCAATGGCCACAATAGCAAATTCCGTGAGAGCCCATGAGGGAATCACGGGGTCAATCGGTTCGCCTAGGTTGAATTTGAGCTTCCTGCGACGCACTTCAAGCAGAATCTGTCCCGCGGTGGAGAGGCAGCGATTGTTTCCATGCTCATGAGCAGCGAACTCGATTCCATGTGACGGAGCTGTACATAATCTGTCATGCATGCATTGCTTCAGTATGTGCCTATTCATTTATTTGTTTGCTTTGCTTGCTTGCATGTATGTATGTATGTATGTATGCATGTATGTATGTTTGTCTGTTTGCTTGTTTGTATGTATGTTTGTTTGTTTGTTCGTTTGTTGGTCATTTGCTTGCTCATTTGTTAGGTTCACGTCCCAGCGGGTGCTGCGTTTGCATTGAGGCTGGGGCACCGCACATAGTCAGCTTCCAGTCTGATGTCTCGAGGAACAACAGTGCCGAGATGCGCGCAAAGCTGCTGGCCGTCGTGCCACGCCGCTAGAGGAGGTTAGTGGCGGCCATGTGTCGTCCCTCCAGCAACGTCAATACGTTGGAGCAACGGGGCCTGCGGAAATTAGATGTACGAGATGCTCAGCCTAGCTGTTGAAATTCACAAGATGTCCAGGTCAATTGGGTTGAAACTGGTGTTCGTGGCAGGGACAAGCAGAAAATGGCGAGACGCCAGGCAACTCAGTTGAAGTCTGGAAACTACAATGTCAATGAACACAGAGCTTCATTTGCTCGAATTGGCTCTGCAAAGCGAATAAAATGACCGGCACGTGTGACTTAGAAGAAGGGAAGGCCTAAGTGGGTGTGGGTCAAAATTAAGCCACCAGGGGACCGCAGGTTTTGGTCCATGTTGCCACTTACCAGGGTTCCATTTGCGGAACCTATTTTTGACCCACAGCCAAGTCACGTGTTTGTAGAAGTTGAAGTTTGCCTTTTGCCCGGCCGGCCCTTCCAGTGAAGCCATTCATGCAGCAACCGGCGGGAACCAAGCGCAACCAAAGCGCACAGCGGCACACTGCGCACACTGCCTTCGCGACGTATGCTGGGTATGTTGTATAGACATTTAACTGGAAGCCTTGGCGTGTAGAGCCATGCAGGCATGTACCCCACACACGGTTACAGGTGGGACAAGATAGCATGCTTGTGAGCATGCATCGTGATTTGTGGATGTTTGGGTGAGCAGTCTTGCTATTGCGAACAAACAGTTTGGCCACTTTCCACTTGTGCCTGCTCGAGCACAGAAAGTTTCCTTGGGGACAGGATTCTCCCGCCCTGTGGACAATCTGTGCAAAGAACGCGGAGTGGCCAAGAGGCAGGACATAAATTTGCACAAGTTGGAGACAGTGAGAGCGTATTCTTTGCGCAGGCGGCTAGCGGCTGCTGAGAGCAGGTCGTTTGGTACCTGACATGATTGAACTGGCTGATCAATGCGGCACATCATGCTCGAGCAGATGAAGCTCACAGGGTTGCAGGTACGGCTCTAAATGCTGTCGGCATCGCTTGCATTCTTCGAGCGGAGCTCAGATCGAAGAATCTCAGAGAACTCCGCAACTGGCTTTTCATGTATCGCTCAGTCCACGGTCCGTCAGAGGTCCGTCAAGTACGGCAAGACGAAGTGTGGCCGCTGCTTCAGGCTCCGATGCTGTTGTTTCGCGCATGCTTGGCGCCAAAGCTAACATTCTACGTTGAGCCAGAATGCATTGCACACATTGGCAGATGCTTGACGTGCTCGTATTCCCAACACCGCAGCATTCTTCGGCTTTTTTCACTGGTTTTGGACTTTCCCCGCCATGGCTCGTGTGTACTCCTCCAGCAGCCGCTTGGCATTTGCTGCCGCCTCCGCTTTGTGGGTGTGGGCGGCCTGCACGGCCTTCGTGTCTTCCGGCAACGGAGTGAAGGGACTGCGCGGTGTGGAGCGCAACTCCCATGCCGAGTATGCCCCCTTCCCAACAAGCCAGGAGACGGGCGAACCTGGCGCCCGCAGCAGCCTGACGTCTGGACTTCAAGCGGTGCTTTTGGCAGGGGTATTTGGATTGGTTGTGGGTCTTGCCCCGGTTCGGGCAGAGGAGGCTGCCGCTCCGGCAGAGGCACCTGCAGCGCCATCGGGCGCTGATGTGACGGAGATCCTCTCCAACCAGCTGAAGAACAAGGATGCTGGCCGTACTGCAGGAGTGAGCCGATCCAAGGCAAGGAAGACCCTTCAGAAGAAGACGTCATCGGTGGCAGAGTCTACTTCCAAGGTTGGCGTCAGTGTTTCTCAGGACCCAGAGACTGGCAAGAAGAAGCGAGTCATCTTCTCTCCTGCAGACGAGTTGGATGAGGATGAGCTGTCCCCGACTCGCCCGAACCAGCCTTTGCTCGCCCTGATCTTCGCCACCCCTGTGACGATCTACCTGACCTTCTATGTGCTGGGTTCCCTCAACATCATTTGAGCCGTCTAAGGCAAAGCTGCTATGTGGGATACTTAGAGCGAGGCCCTGACTGAGGCCGATTGGCAAAAGTGTGCGGGGATTATTTTGTGTGACTTTGACAAGTTCAAGCGACCAGCGTGTTTCATGTTTAGGCAAATGTCCATAGCGAATTCCATGTCTGCGAATGCCAAGCAAGCATGACATGCAAAACTCAGCTTGCTTTGCGTTGCACGTCACGACGGAACAAGCCAAGTAGATACATCCAGTCTCAGGCATCCCCAGACACACTCCGCAATGGCTCGTGTGTACTCCTCCAGCGGCCGCTTGGCATTTGCTGCCGCCTCCGCTTTGTGGGTGTGGGCTGCCAGCACGGCTTTCGTGTCTTCCGGCAACGGAGTGAAGGGACTGCGCGGTGTGGAGCGCAACTCCCACGCCGAGTATGCCCCCTTCCCAACAAGCCAGGAGACGGGCGAACCTGGCGCCCGCAGCAGCCTGACGTCTGGACTTCAAGCGGTGCTTTTGGCAGGGGTATTTGGATTGGTTGTGGGTCTTGCCCCGGTTCGGGCAGAGGAGGCTGCCGCTCCGGCAGAGGCACCTGCAGCGCCATCGGGCGCTGATGTGACGGAGATCCTCTCCAACCAGCTGAAGAACAAGGATGCTGGCCGTACTGCAGGAGTGAGCCGATCCAAGGCAAGGAAGACCCTTCAGAAGAAGACGTCATCGGTGGCAGAGTCTACTTCCAAGGTTGGCGTCAGTGTTTCTCAGGACCCAGAGACTGGCAAGAAGAAACGAGTCATCTTCTCTCCTGCAGACGAGTTGGATGAGGATGAGCTGTCCCCGACTCGCCCGAACCAGCCTTTGCTCGCCCTGATCTTCGCCACCCCTGTGACGATCTACCTGACCTTCTATGTGCTGGGTTCCCTCAACATCATCTGAGCCGTTTCTGCTTTGCAGTTCTCCCCCAGACAACAGATGTCTTGGCGAAGGAAACATGGTGCGCTGACATTGTCAGTTTTCCCACTGCTACACAGTGATGCGTGAGTCAAGTTTTGTGCAAAGGACGGGTTTAGGCATTGCATGTCTGGCAGACATTTGGGTTGGCTTCCTTTTTTTGTTGAGTCTTTGACATCCTGGCTTTGTTGAGGCTCCCAGGTCAAGACAGAGAAGGCATCAGGCTTGGGACTCATTTAGCTTTTTGCCATGGCTCGTGTGTACTCCTCCAGCGGCCGCTTGACGTTTGCTGCCGCCTCCGCTTTGTGGGTGTGGGCTGCCTGCACGGCCTTCGTGTCTTCCGGCAACGGAGTGAAGGGACTGCGCGGTGTGGAGCGCAACTCCCACGCCGAGTATGCCCCCTTCCCAACAAGCCAGGAGACGGGCGAACCTGGCGCCCGCAGCAGCCTGACGTCTGGACTTCAAGCGGTGCTTTTGGCAGGGGTATTTGGATTGGTTGTGGGTCTTGCCCCGGTTCGGGCAGAGGAGGCTGCCGCTCCGGCAGAGGCACCTGCAGCGCCATCGGGCGCTGATGTGACGGAGATCCTCTCCAACCAGCTGAAGAACAAGGATGCTGGCCGTACTGCAGGAGTGAGCCGATCCAAGGCAAGGAAGACCCTTCAGAAGAAGACGTCATCGGTGGCAGAGTCTACTTCCAAGGTTGGCGTCAGTGTTTCTCAGGACCCAGAGACTGGCAAGAAGAAGCGAGTCATCTTCTCTCCTGCAGACGAGTTGGATGAGGATGAGCTGTCCCCGACTCGCCCGAACCAGCCTTTGCTCGCCCTGATCTTCGCCACCCCTGTGACGATCTACCTGACCTTCTATGTGCTGGGTTCCCTCAACATCATCTGAGCCATGCGTGGCAGCTACCAGCCTTGATCATTTTTCCTGAGGGATGTGGTTCTGGCAAAAGAAGTCGATTCTGCAGGTGACCTGTGGGATGGGTCAAAATTACCCCACCAGGAAATGGACCGCTTTGAGTGCTTGGCCGCCCATTTCCCGGGGCAACCCATTTGGGGGGATACCAACAATTTCGGACATGTCCAAGGACCATATTTCAGGACCATTTAGGGACATGTCCAACTAGTTTAGAGCAGGCCCTATTTTCGACCACAGCGAGGTCGAAGTTGCTTCGTCCCGTGGCCTGGCAGGTGCGAATGCACGGGATCAGGGCCGGAGGCTGGCTGGGGGGGTCGATCTACACCCTGCGAGGTTCTTGCGTGTTTTTCTTTTTGGTCCTCCTTTTTTTTTCCCGCCTCCCATCTTGCTGGCGGTCAGGTTGGTGCCAAAGTTGCCCAATTACTTGGTGAGAATCCTGGCTGGCATCGCTCTTGGTGAAATCATGGGCCTTCCTACCTTTGCAGGCAGGTTTGATGGGATGCCTACAGTAGATTGATGGCAGTGAACAAGCGGACAGGCTTTTGGGCACAATTGTCCATTTGTGGTGTGAAGAGAGAGAGAGAGAGAGGGAGAGAGTAAGAGAAGGATATAGAGGGAGAGAGAGAGAGAGAGAAAGAGACAGAGAGAGAGAGAGAGTGCGAGCGAGAGGGAGAGAGAGAGAGAGAGAGAGAGAGCGAGAAAGCGATTTCCAGGTGGCCGGCCGTTCCTGGTTGCATATGTATTTGCGCTTGCCTTATGACTTGAGTTGTCACTGCACATTAAGACCTGATCGTGTACTGGAGGTCGTGTACTTGATCTCCATCGAGTGCACTGGCTTTGTAGTGAGGCGTGTGTTGCCTTTGCATTACTGTCGCTTGAGGTACTCTCGTTTGATAGCAAATGTTTTGACACCTCCACCAGTGAGGCAGGGCGTTGTTGCAATGGCTGACAGCGAGTGCGAGTTGTTCTTTCAGTATGAGTACAGTGTTCACTTAACAGTCTGTTTTTCTAAGGTTTTGCAATTCTGCAAGGGTTACCCAGCTAGAAAGGCTTATTTTATTCTCGGTCAGCATCCTTCCGATGATGTGGTCTTTTGCTTCAGCGTGCCTGGATATTTTAGCCAGAGCATTGCCCCCCCCCCCCCCCATTTTATCAACTTTACAATGTCATGTCATTCTCGCCAGTTTTTCAGCATGGAATGCACCTAGCACTGAAGATGCTTTGGATCTTGCAGTTGAGACACAAGAGGCGTCCTCGCTTGAAAGCCAGCGATACTCAGCGTTTAAATGCACTGACTACATCGGATATATAACCTGTCAAATGTCAGTTGCGCTGCAGCAAAATGAAACCATGCAGTCAAGCGGCAGGAACCTAGAAGGAGCATTGGTTATCGTAAATACTCAAGACTTGTTGCAACATGCTTGATGCGTCAGCACACACACACACAAGATTCGCACACTTAGTGATAACAATCGACGCAGCCTGATTGAGAGCAACACAACACGACCAAGCTTGCACAGCAACATCGATGGCTCTCCATGTGACAGGAGCCGCCACTGAAAAGCATATGCTGCACAGCGGCATTTCAGCCAGCAAAAAGCAACAGGCCGCAAGGACACTTGAACACAACGGGCAGTCACACCATGCCTTCAAGCATCTGTCTATTTGTTGCGCACATGACCGCCATGATTGCTGCAAACCACAAGTTTCATGTTTTCATGAATTGACAAGCAAAGACTTTATGCTCGCCTGCACAGCACCAGCAGCCATGCTTGAATATGAAGTTTGTCACTCCTTCAAGCAGCTGCAGCATTCGAAACGCGTCGCTCTTTTTGAGAAATGCCTGAATTGTTGCATTTGATCTTCTGCCTCGCCCCAGCACGAGAGCAGAAAGCCTGAGGTCCCTTTCAGGCTCAGACGCCGTCCAGGAAGCATCCAGAACATTTGTTTTGCATCAGCCTCGGGTCATCCGCCGGTCCACCTGATGCGTTAGAGACGATGAACACAAGCAGCGTTAGAGACGATGGACCAAATGGGCCAAGCTGGCGAAACAAACGAATGAACACCTTGGCGAGAAATAGCACCTAGTTGACCTCCTTGCACCCTGTGCCATCCAGGAGACGTCATAGAAATTTCCACAGGCCCAGGGCACAACCACAAGGTGTTCTAGTTGAAATCTTTGCCGACCAATGACCCTGGCAAAGACAAACTGGCCCTTGAGGTTCCTCATGATTTCCGTACATCTCCCCCACGATTTCAACGGTTTTCAAGAGTCTCAAAAAACCAGTTGCCCGCAGGGTTTGCCCATGGGTTCCGAACAGTTGCCGGAGACTTCTACTATGGGCAGACACAAAAGCTCCTTTTGAGGAAGGGCTCACTTGCGCCAGGGCCCAGCGCTGGGCTCTTTTCCTCGTCAGCGCCTCCATCTTGGTAGCAGCACATTGCAAAGCCCGGGCCTTGGCGCAGGACACATGGCAGTGGCTCAAAAACAAAAAGGTACCAACATGGGTTGCCCTGGTAAGTGGAACCATGGACCAAAACCAGCGGTTTGCCCTAGCTCTTTAATTTTGAGCCACTGCCATAGACCGGGCCAAGCGAGTCTGGCAACTCAGGTCCTGACGGGAATATTTGAATGCGCCGCTGCCAATGGCTTAAATGGGGTAGGAGGTCATCCAGTTGGCAGGAGGCAGATGCGCTGAGGTTACCCTGCTTGGGCTGATGCTTGTGCTGCAAGGCACATGCTCCATTTGCTTCATGCGGGTTCTGCAAGCCTTGGGCTTTGTACATCCTTGTGCTCAGGGAACACCAAGTCCCCAGACGGCTCGTCGCCAATATCGTGCATGACTTACACGTGCGAGCTTTAAAGGCAAGTGCTTGGAATGCTTGCTTGCATGCTTCTGAGAATCCCATGCTTGTGGTGGGTGCAGGTTCCTGAATGGCATGCCTCTCCATTTGCAGCGCTGCTGGCTGCCAAATCTCAGGTTTTCGCACATCGCTTCTCAAGTCTTCGGGGTCTTCTACGTGGGTTACCTGCCGTCTTTTTGGGTGCGCCCTGGCGAAAGCACGCCTCGACATTGCATCTCAGAGAGTCCCTGGATGGATCGCGCATAGCTTTTTGTGTTCAAAGTTGCCTTGCGGCACCTCGCGATCGAAACTGCTCGTTTTTTTGTTGTGCAAAGTGTCAACACAAGTGTATCAGAAATGCTTGTGAATCTTTTGGGGTAACACAGTGTCCCTGCTTCTATGGCTGCTTGGCCACTGGATCCGTCTAGGCCCAGGGAAGTGGCAGCTGTATGTTTTTTTCATTTTCGGTCTATCTGTATTTTGCGCGTTGACAACATCGGGCACCACCGGAACGAAAGCCCGATCAGATCTTGCAGGTTACTCTCAGCCCAGATCTGTAGGTACGGAAACTCGTGACCCCCGACGGAACTGAACTCCGATAAATCTGAATGTAAAACCGACAACCGAAAGGCACTTTTCGGGTCCGAATGGCCGAAAGAGCAGATGGCTCTGTCTTGACGTCGCAGGTACGGCTGAGAGCCATGGGGCCCTTGCTGCCAGCTGGCGCCCCTTCAGGCTGCACTCGAAAGAGAGAGAGAAAGAGAGAGATGTGGCCAGTTTTGCGCTTTGTTGGTGTCCTTTTTGGTGGTTTTGGTTGAAAAATAGCTGGTTTGCCTGGTGGTTTAATCAACCAGGGCCACCTATGCTTGCGCTTTGTTTGTGTGAGAAAGGCTTAACATGGCGCCAGCTTTTGGCTCTGGCTTTGCAGCTGTAAAGCAGGCTGCTGTATAGCAGACTGTACAGCGGACTGTATAGCAGACAGTAGAGCAGTCTGCATAGCAGACTGCATCGCGCTGGCGTGGTCGCGCATTTAGTGGCTTGGCCAAGTGGACATCAAGCGGCAGATGTATTCCATCAATGCAATGTCAGATGTCGTATGTTATGTTTGTCATGCTCAGGTGATGAATCCAAGTCTTCGAGCAACAGGTATCGCTATTTTATCTGCGTTGGGTGCTCTTCTCTTTGGCCTGGACATAGGCTGGAAGTACGTTGGCTTGATAGATACGGCCATGGGTCAGAATCCCGTACCCCCGGTGAGCATCCCAATCCCCACTAAAATAGGAAACCTAAAATGGGTGATGCACCTACAAACCAACATGGGATCCCGTTAAACGGTTTTGACCACAGCCAATACCGCCGGGTCGTCAAACGGTTTTCTACTTGACAAGCGACAGGCTACATCGCCCCGATCCTCGAGTGCGCCTCCTTCAAGCGGGATGTTGCACATTTGGCCGACTGGCAGAATCCAGGTGTCAGGATCGATGATTACACAGCAGGTTGGCGGTGCATGCTCGATTTTTTTTTGGCGCTGCTTGTTTGAGCTGCTGGTTGAGCAACTTGTGCACTTGTGCTTGCATGTGAATTGCATTCCCTGGGCAGGTTTCATCGTTGGCATATTTTCGATTGGCTGCATTGTATCATCTCTTCCGCCCGTCAGTGCGTATTTTCTCAACGTGTGGGGCAGGCGCAGCTCCATCATTCTGGGCTCGGCGGTGTTTCTGCTGGGCAGTCTGTTGCAGGTCTTCGCCTGGTCCATTGTTACCATCCTCTGCGGCCGCTTCGTCTCGGGTTTGTCCATCGGTCTTCTGAGCGCCGTGGTGTCGCTGTACCAGAGCGAGTTGGCGCCCCCGGCGCTGCGCGGCCGCTTGACGTCCATGTACCAGCTGATGCTCACCTTGGGCATTCTGCTGGCGGCCTTCGTGGACCACGAGCTGGTGCACCTGGACCACGGCTGGCGGGCCGCGATCGCGCTGCAAATGGCACCGGCGCTGGCGCTGCTGCTGGCGATGCCGTGGATGCCCCGGTCCCCCCGCTGGCTGGTGCAGCAGGACCGCGTCGACGAGGCCCTGGCGGCCTTGAAGTTGGTGCGCGAGGAGCCCGCCGCTGAAGCGGAGCTGGCGGAGATCGTGGCGAGCCACCGGAAAGCAAAGGCCGGGCGTTTCAAGCGGTCCAGTTTCACTGTGAAAAAGGCGCCTGAATCTTGAAATTGGGAGTAAGCTTCAGAAGCAAATGTAAGCCATCAATGATGTGACCGTGCTTAGCAAACCTCAAGTTCAACAGAGCGAGCTGGTTCTTGGATTCTCGAAGCAACCCACACGCGGCTTGGTTCTAAGAATCCGCAGGTGTTGGGGGAGTCTTCCTGGAAGGAGCTCTGTCAGGGTCGAACTGGACATTTGCTGCTGGTCGGTGTGGCCCTTCAGATGTTGCAGCAGCTGGTTGGGATGAACGCCTTGATGTATTTCGGACCACGCATGTTCGCTGACATCGGCATGAACCCCACGCTATTCCAGACCCTCAGCAATCTCGTGAACTTTCTCGCCACCTTTCCCGCTTTGCTTTTCGCCGATCAGTACGGGCGTTGTTCATTGCTTTGGTGGAGTGCAGCGGGGATGGTTGTAGCCTGTTCCACCATCAGTTCCGTGGGTGGAAGATTCGTGCTCGCCAACTCGGATGGCACATACACATCGACCAGTGGAACCGCCAGCTACGTTATAGTAGCGATGATGTTTCTTTTCGTGATCAATTTTGCGTATGGTTGGGGGCCAATCGTCTGGGTTTATACTTCAGAGATGTTTCCACTCCGCTGTCGAAGCCAGTGTGTAGCGGCGACCACCTGTGCAAACTGGGTTGGCAACTTTCTGGTGGCTCAGTGCACTCCAGTTTTGCTCGGGCACGTGGGCTTCCTAACGTTTTACATCTATGGCGCTTTCGCATTCTTGGCGCTGCTGCTTGCACGCTGGCTGCCGGAAACGAGGGGGGTGCCTTTGGAACAGATGGATCGAGTCTTTGATGACAAGCTGGGGCTCCCGTGCAAGAGTCACGGGCCGTTAGGGGAGGCCTTGTTGAGTCATTTGAAGCAGCTGGAAGCATGAAGAAAGACTTTGTCCGTAAAGCACCGGCTGAGAGCGGGAAGTATTCAGGTTCTAAAGTTCCTGAAAGACCCTGGAAGTGCTTGCCAAGTGGAGTGTCTTGCAAAGCAGCGGCATCCTTGGCTCTTTGAACAACGTCCTCTGCATGATTTGGAGCTTCAAGGCGCGAAAGGCCTTGAGTTCGAGTTCGCTGGGGCTGAGTAAAACTCAATGCCTCCGGCATCCGCAAGCTGCCTGCAGGGTCACAGCGCCGATGGAGCGCTTCTTCGCCATTTGGGCAGAAGGCAGAGTCTCTGCGACTTGACATTTGAAGCGTCGATGGAAGACTCGAAGTCAGCCCCACTGCCGCTTTCAGAGACCTTCCGATTCAATGCCAAGTCGAAGGCTCTGCGGACCATGTAGTTGGCATGACAGAGATAAGAAGCTCCCCAGAAGTAAGAATCCAACATGCAAGGAACCTACACCAAAGTCAGAAGTTGAATCAGGGGACGTTATATTCGAACATGATTCAATATTCTGCCACACCAAGAAGATACAATTCAGCAGGAGCTGCTGTTATTGAGGTTGTAGCGGAGCCAGCTGTGGACCCACCATGTCATTCGCACCTCTTCCTTCAGGAACCCCTTTGTCTTCCCATCAAGCTGCGCAGTACATGCATGAGGGGCATTCATAGTATGGGAATAGTCAGCTGGATAGATGAGGGGGGAGCGTACGAGGACATGAGGTACGGAGCGGGAGGGGGGGCATTCGCGCTCGAACTCCCAAATTTGAAACCGCAGGAGGTTCTCTCAGTTGAGCGTGAATGTATGCAGGTTTTTGCCTGCAGTTTGTTGTTGCACTGTGAGTATTATGCAATTTTGCTCGGTCAGCTCTGTAGAATGACATTTTTCGCGGCTTCAGGTGCGCATGGCATCTTATACACGTACAGCTTCGCAGCAAGCGTGCGAGCTGATCAAAACCGGGGCCCAGTTATTGAGTTGCCACCCGCTATCTTGCATGGCAACGCACTTGTTCATAGTGCAAAACGAATGGCTAGCTATTCTATTGCAGGCACCGTTTTACTACCCCTCAAACTTGAATACAACAACCATGGCAAGGCTGCTCAATATTGACACGCGGCAATACCAATTCACCTTTCGAAAGTACGAATACTGTTCGGCCCTCTGTAGTTCCAGGATCATTGGCAACATGAACATGTGCTGAGTTGGTCATGTCACTAGCTGCCCACCTGGGCAAGAACACTACCATCCCTTTGACCCTGTTCACCAAGTCCAACGAATTGTTGGTTGGTCAGGATTAGGCATAGGGGCAGGCATCGCTCAGGGTGTGAAAAGGCAACAGCACATTCCCAGCTTACACATCATGACACTTATGAGTGCATGTGTGCAAACTTGACTGAGCACGAGAGCCGCGTGAGCGCTTGGTAGTCATGGCAGTATGGTGGGAGCCTGGTCAGGATGAATTCACCGACAGGAATGGCGAGTCCCCTTTTGTGGCGAAAGAATTTCTGGAAGAGAGCAACTTCCAGCACCTGTACAAGGTATCGCTTGCCCGGTGGCACCTGTGGGGTTTTGAGCTTTTGCATGTGAAAGCCCGAAAATCGAGATGTCGGGTTTTGAACAAACTTTTGCATGTACAGCAGCCTCTTTTGCATCTGAAAGGTACTTCAGCCTCTTAAGCGGCCTCCAAAATCTGTCGGGTTTTGAACTTTTGCATGTGAAAGGTACTTCAGCCTCTTGAGCCATCTTAAGCCTGAGATTCCCTGAAGGGAACTGGAGAGCCGCGGGCCGTGGACGCCCACGAGCTCGCTGCTTCCTTCACTTGTGCCGTGAATACCTTCGTGCAGCACTACTGGACATGCCTCAAGGACTACGAGGTCACTATCGAGCGGCACGTCGAGGGCTCTGGTCACCTAGCTTTGGAGGCCCATAGCCCATGCATGGGGGTAGGAGCTTGAGCTGAAGAAGCAACAGCGTTCATCGTTCAAGTGGTTGAACTCAGGATAAACCCATCTGGCTATGAATTTTAATTGGGAGCCATCTCAGAAGTGGTTGGTGCACATGAACCCCCATCGAAATGATGTCCACCAAAGGGTCCCCCATTAAATTTCACACACACGTTACTGGAACAAGCTGAATTTTTGCACTGCGTCTTTGTGATGAGTTTGGGCTGTTGAGTCTTTCAGGCAATGATGCCGAAGTGGCAGGAGGACCTTGTGGAGCATTTTGGAATTGGCCTCGACCCAGAGGCATTGAGGGCAGTTGCCGGACGATTGTTGGACGTTTGGAAGGTCTCTTTGGCGGGCGGTTGTGACCGGGGATTGAAGTGAGTGCGTTGGGGCGCACCCTTTGCTTCGGGTATTCCAGGCATTTGAGGCATTCAACCGGCACGTGGGTGTTCGACTTTCGGGTGCAGAGTGGCAGGCCACCATCAAGATGTACACCAGCGGCACGATGGTGGCCATTCGCCGCGTGGTGAAGATTTGCTCGCTGCAAGCTGATGGACTGACAGTGTATCCTTCCGATGTGAAGTTGCCGGAGGGGCTGGACCTTGGACAAGTCGGAAGACCTTCCTCGATCGAATCCACGGACGAGGTGGGAAAGACCAAGCGCACGCTCTTCCGACCATTTCAATTTCCGGTGGACATCCCTGGACTGGACTACCATGAGTTCATCCACACCAACTTTTCAGACTGGAGGGGGAGGAGGCCGATCCACTTTTTCGAGCGCAAGCCCTTCCACCGAGCCCTGAACTGCGCCATCTGCCAGGATGCGCCGAACGTTCTGAAGGCCGTGATGAAGATTATCATGGACATGAACTACTTCATCAACTCGGTGCATCATGCTGGAGGGGTTTTCTACAGCGGAGTTGGCATTGGAGAATCCTTGCGGCTGGTTCGAGACGGGGCAAAGCTGCGCATGCCGCGATTTTTGTCGACCACCACGGAGCTGAAATTTGCAAAGTCACGGCTAACCGACAAAGTGGGGCCTGCTCTTCTGGTGGTTCGAGTGCCACACGGCTTTTGGGGTGCAAGAGATATATCAGCCTTCTCCTCTTGCCCAGAGGAGAATGAAACGATGTTTTGTGCATACGCATTGTTTGAAGTGGAGCGCGTATCCTCAATCAAATTGCAAGGTCAAGAAGTGACCCGCATCGATCTGAAAGCTTTAGACAAGTATGAAGGAATCGAGTATCCGGATGTGTCCTATCCACCGTTTCACCATGCCGAAGTTGATTTGGATGAGCTAGACGCCCATCATAGCTATGTTCGTCAGGACTCCTAGGTTTTTGTGCCAGGAAAGGACTTCAAAGAGCGCATTTGCGTGAAAGCCTTTCCTGAATCCTCTCGAGTCCTTGCATATCATGGGTGACTCCGGGAAAAGACGGCCGCTTTGGGTTTACCGGCTGTGAAAGCATAGTGCAGAAGATTCGGTTGTGGTCATGTCGCCCGAGTTGTTGTGCGGAGGCTTCTTGACGGGGCTGCTCCGTCTCATTCATTGGCCTCTGGATCGAAGCGTTGGCTGCTGTGCATCTTGGCATTCAAATGGCCATGGGTCAATACCTTTGCCGAGCCAGTTTTTGGCGCGGATGAACACCCATGTACCGCGGAAATTTTGATGATCACCAGGGGTTTTATGGGTTTTGACCCACAGCCAAATGGGGCAAGCCCCGAGCGTTGCATTGCATGGCTGGCATTGCCAGGTCACTGTTTCGTGCGTGCTTTGCATCATAGCCGCTGACTCCTTTGCGTACTTCGGAGGCAGGGTAGCAGGTCAAAACGGGTTCCGAGCTTGTGCAGACGTGCAGGCAAGACTTGGGGCAAGACGCCGCTGATTATGATCAGCCCCAAGAAAACCCAAGAGGCGGGGCTGAAGCAGGCGGCCAGCTGGAAGCCTTGGTACTGCAATCGATTGCCCAGGGAGCCTTGTGCGGCCTGCTGGGCTCGGTCTTGATGGCGCTGCTTTGTGACCAGGTTGTGGGGGGAGGGTCAGTTACAGTTGGGGGGGGGGAAATACCAGGCACCTTGCTGAGAATGGAGGGGGGTGAGTTTCAGGGTCAGTTTGAAACACGGAGATTGACAATTTCTGTTCAAAAGCGAGTTTCGCTCTCAGCATATGCCGGCAACTTTTTGCTTAGTTGCCAGTAGGTTCAAGTCAACTTTTGCCCGGATGCTGCAACACGTTCCACGGGTCCATCGCGCTGTCACATCTTGCAGGCTTGGGGTTTCCCCTCGGACCCCCTCGTTTCAGCGCGCTGCTCTCATGTCGATTGCGCTCAGCCGCTGTCGCTTTCAGCCTGTGGCGTGCTGAGGAGCGTGGGCGCTCTGGTCTTCTACGCCAGCCTCCTTGGGGATCTCGTCGTCTCAGCCAAGCGCTCAGCCGCAGGTAGAACGCTGCACCGATCTGCACTCTGCACCGCGCGGTAGGCCATGAAGCGGGACGCGAAAGTCAAGGATCGCCTCATGACTCAGGTTTATTCATGGTTTGCCTTTTGCACTGCTTGGGGGATACACAAGCAGCCGAAACCCCTGGTAGTGTAGAAACCCCTTTTGAAGGGAGGCTGTTCATTTCAGTGGAAAAGGCCAACCCTGCCATGCCATTGGCAAAGCAATCCTGCGCCAGGATGCTGGGTCCCTCATTCCTGGGCATGGTGGCATTCTCGACCGTTTTGACTCCTACTTCTTTGCGCCTGCAGTGGCCTACTTTTGTTGGTACGCCCGCACCAAGAGCGGTTTGCATGATGGTGTCTCGTTATTTTACCATGCTCAGAGTCCCCTCCTAAGGCAAACAACCCCCATTTCTGACTTTGATAACCCCCAGAAACCGTCAAAATAATGGCCCCTGCATGATTGTGACTCTGTCCTGTTTGTAGCCTGCCTGGCCGGTCCGGTGACATTTAGGCTGACTTTCTTTCAGATCTGAAGCGACACACTCATCATCAGAGCAGGAAACTGCGAGATGGCATGGTGAGATGTCTTGGCGGTAATGATGAGCAAAATGTGGAGCCATGATTCTGCCCTGCTTCTTCGGGTTGCTTCTCCTTTATTCCTTTATGTTCTTACAACGTCATTGTGTGTGGAAAGGGCAGGAGCTTCACATGTCCGAAAACTTCATCTTTTGTGGGTGCACGTGGAGATTCGCGGCGTAGGGAGGCCAGTTGCCATGGATGCATCCCAATGGCTCGCCGAGCTCCCGAGCAATCCGGAAGCTTATGCGTGGTGGCCCATCATACTCTACATGTTTTATTTGATGTCTGTCGTCTGCGACGACTACCTCCTGCCGGCGGTGGACGCCATCAGTGCCCGCTTCCACATCCCAGATGATGTGGCAGGCGCGGTTCAAACCCGCGAGGTGTGATGAATGTGCCGGCGCACCAAGACCTAGAGAGTAGGTGCATTCTCGCATAGTTTGGACGATGGCAGTCAAATACGTGCACCTGCAGCACACTCCAAAGTGGTTCCACGTTCAACTTTCCTTCCAGAATGGCACCCGGTGCAGGAGCTACTCTGGTGGCCTTTGCATGCAACGGTCCGGAACTTCTGACCAACAGCTGCTCCATCTACTTGAACGACAGCTCTGTCGGCACGGCTGGCTGAGTTTTTTCCGTTTGAGTTGCATTTCATGTCTATTGCTCAGCTCTTGCATTGGACTGGAGAGGCTGTAAGCAATGGACATTTTAAGGGATCCGAGTGAAGCCATTGCATCTGAAATGGCATACCCGCACCTAGCAAGCACCTAGCACCCATCAGGCATGGGTACCATCGTCGGCTCTGCGATCTTCAATGTCCTGGTGCTCGCCTCGGTGTGTCTCAGTTCATAGCGCCAAGCGAGCACCAAGCAAGCAAGTGCTTCCAGGTGAGCCACGTGCTCAAAATCGATTCGGGCAGATGATCCGATGAGTAAGGGAGAATCCCCTGGCCATTTCTTAGCTGCGGATCTCCGCCTTCTGAATTCTTGAAGCATGGTTCTGGGATTACGACCATTCGGGTATGGGTCAAAATTAAACCACCAGGATATGGACCGCAGGGTAACCCATTTTTGGGTTACCATATTTTTGACCACCACAGCCATTTGAATTCAGGGCTCCTTAAAAGATACATCTTGACACCATCTGAAACATGTTGCTTTTTCAACACACAAATAAGGGGAAACAACACCATTTACAAGTTGCCATGTTCGATCGGTGTTTTTCATGTCAGGGTCCCTGTTCGGGTAGATGAAGGTTAAGGGACAATCCCCTTGCCATGAGTCGCTGAGGATCTCCGCCTGAATTCTTGAAGCATGGTTGTAAGGATCCCTGTTGAATACCTTAATCAGTTTTGATTATGACTCAGGTGATCACGGGCTGCTGCCCACTGGTCGCGCCGAAGCGCGCGCTGAAGATCAACCCTGCCTTTTTCTTGCGGGACGCGGGCTTTTCGGCCGTCTCCATTTGGTCTCTGGACTGAAGCAGACTTAGTTGTGTGACACTCACTCGCTGTTTATGTAAAATATAGTCAGATTTGTTTTGGTTCGCACTCACTCGCTGGTTATCTAGTTTGCGCTCTTTTTCAATCGTAAACTCCGCAAGAGTTGCATGAGTTGCACCAATCACACTCCTGAACATCGGTGCCTGGGCTTCTATGCCTGAAGCAAGAACCAGCATGCCTTTGGGCTCATTCACCCAAGGCATATGCAAAAGGACCTCAGTTGCGACATGTTGTCCACACGACTATGCTTTACATCATCACGCAAGGTGTTCAACACGTGCAATATGGCTGTGGGTCAAAAATGCGTACCCAAAATGGGACCCTTGCAAAAGGAACCAAAGACTAAAACATGTGGTTTTATTTTGACCCAAACCCATATTTTGAGTTCAACACATTGTGTCACACAGGACTGGTTGATCGACACGTGGACGGCACGACTGGTTGGATTGAGAGCTGTTGCAGGTCTCCTCCGAGTCAAAGAAACCGAAGTTTTGTTTTTCAAATGGCTGTGGTTGTCAAACCCGTTTTGGGATCCCATTTTGGTTGGTAGGTGAATTCACCACCCATTTTAGGTTTCCTATTTTAGTGGGGATTGGGATGTTCACTGGGCGTACGATTTGGATTTTGACCCATGGCCAAATGACCACGGGGTCACACCCGTCAACCTTGTTACACCACACTCCGTCACAATGTCACAATCCACTTCTAGAGGAAGTTGCTGCTCAGTTGTTTGAGGATATGACAAGATGTCTCACAATCGTATGTGGGCACCGCTCAATCTCTGTGCGGCATCCTTTATGTGAGGTCTGCCTGTGGTCTTGGTCTCTTGAGTTCAACTTTTGCCCGCCAAGCCACCTCGTCGGATCATTTCCGTCAGCCACATGGCAACTCCACAAATGTTAAGTTGATTCCTGACAGTACCGCAAAAGCATTTGTCGACGTAGGCTGCGTCAAATGGGAAACACAGAGCAAGCTGGGAGGGCAAATGGTTTTGGTTCCAGCGGCAAAATGTGGGTATGGGTCAAAATACAACACCAGGAAATGGACGTCCTTCTTTCCGTTTATTGATCGGGCAAGCCATTTGGGGGTTACCAACTATTTTTGACCACCGCAAAACGTGACTTGTGAGGCTTCTGTGGTGGGCGCTCCCCGTGGTGGACTTGCTCAGAGCTTCCACGTTGCTGGCCTTCTCCGTGCTTTACGCCGTCGTGGTTGCGAAGAGCGAGCAGTGGTTTGGCGGCCATCACTACGCCGCAGCCTCAGAGCGGATGCAGAAATGGCTGTGGGTCAAAATTAAACCACCGGAAGACTGCAGGTTTTAGTCCACGTTGCCATTTACCATGCTGCCTGGGTGGGTAGGCAATCACATGTGGCCATGGGTCAACAGCCAAAATTCCGGTTCGCCCCAGTGAACCTCCGATTCAATCCAACCACTAAAATAGGTACTAGAATGGGTGGTGAATTCACCAGGCCCCCAAAATGGGATCCCATTGGTTTTGACCCCCAGCCAAATTGACAGTGTCTGATACAGACCAAATCTACGGATGGATTCCCTCCAGCGAACTGAGAGAGGCTGAGTTGTGCTTGAGTTTAGTCCTAGGATGGCACAGAATCCTTGGCCTCTGGCCTGATTACTTCACCTTCGAAAATAGCCAGGCAAGGGGCTGTGTGAACCTCCCAATGCATCCAGTCAACATTGGCTTGTCAACATATGCTACAGGCAAGTGTCTGAATTATCAATGGATGATCTCCAGATGCCATTGGTGACATCCCGAAGAACTCTGGTGGACGTTCTACTGTCACCCGGTGGTGTCTTGCTCTGGCTGACCATCCCCAACGTAAAGCTGCAACCCAGCCGATATTTTGGGAGCTTCTTCGTGTCTATGGCGTGGCTCAGCATCACGGCCTACGTCGTTTGTCTCGGCTCTGACCGCATCAACCTCTTTTGGGGCATCCCGCGCAGCTTCCTGGGGCTCACCCTGGTGGCGGTGGGCACTTCTTGGCCAAATCTGCTGGCCTCGGTGGCGACTGCCAGGAGAGGGCAATGGGTTCAAAAGGGTTAATGACCCGAGCCACAATCAAAAGAATGAAGGTTAGTAAGGGGCAGTCCCAGCCAGAAATAGTTGCGGACATCCGCCTTCTTAATTCTTGAAGCATGGTTCTGGGTAGACCATGTTAATACCGGGTTTTGACTGTGACTCACCTTGTCTGCATCTCCAATGAGCACATATCCATGTTGTTTTGTACGTGGCAGGCAAGGCCGGGGCGAGATGGCGGTGAGCAACGCACTCGGGAGTAATGTCCAGAACGTGTTCTTTGTACTTGCATTGCCCATCTTCGTGAGCGTCCTGGTGCGGGGCGACTACACCAGCGACAGCGCGGAGATCTTGTCCTCGGTCTTGTGGAAGCTTGGCCCATGCCAAAGTGGCTACGGCTCATAATTCATGCCTCCATTTTGGGGCGGATGAACACCCAATGTACCACGTATTTTTTTATGTCCAGCAGGGGTAAACTCTTGGGTTTTGACAACCGCAGCCAAGCGACAGACCAGTTGACCGCAAGCTTTCGGGCAGAGCCTAGGATGGGAGCCACACTGGCCGTGGTGGGCCTTTTGATCAGCTTCTCAGGCTTTGTCTTGCGAGCCTGGGCGGGTGCCATCTTCGTCGGGGTTTACTTCTTGTACCTCATACAAGCCTCACGCGAGTTGCTGGCATAGGACGGGCAGAAAAAAAAGGAAAAAAACGCCCGCAGACAGATCGGATCACTCTCAGCCTGCGGAAGCCGTTTTCGGCTGCTCGCAGTTCCGTGCCGTCTTCGTGCACGCTTTCGCGACTGAAAAGGACCCAACATACGCGTAGCTTGCAGAAGCCAATTGTTTTTTGCCGCGTGAAGGCCGTCTTGCTCAATGACAGGTACGCCTTCTTGAAGTACAAAGCTCGCCTGCCTATATCGCTTATCCGCTTCGGAGCGTGAATTGAGTTATTTTCAATGTAGTGCTTCCCTTCGGGCAAGAGCAAGCTGTGCTTTACACCTGGGGTGCCAAAAAATTGGGCCGAAAGCCCATAGTGCATCAACAGTATTGTACAAGCAAAGCGCGCTTGCGTGTTAAACGGCGAGTGGTTTCACGAATGACTTGGGGACTTGGCGCATGCAGCTGGCTCGTGAACGGGAGCAACTTGCACCGCAGCTCCGGCTCTGAGCGCTGTCCGAGCGTCCGGGCGTCCGCTGCCAATGAGGAGCGACTCGTCCGTGCGAGTCCACGCCAGCTCCAGAGAGCCATTTCGCAGGCTGCAATTCCGCAGCGCCGTGGATGAGCGGGGGCAGCTACGAAGCGAAGTCCAGGTGCGTGCACCGCGTGCAGTGCGCAGGGTTGGCAAAATCAAACCATGGAAAACAGCTGTTCAGAGATTGTTACGAGCAAGGCTCCTTGAGGTCTTGGGGTCTTTGGGCTGAAGTTGAGGCCAGGTGTTGCGGCTGCTGTGAGCGCTGAGGCGCTTCAGACAGAGCGTGATGCCCTCGCTGCGGAGGCCAGGGCCTTTAGCCGCCAGGGATTGACTGTCCGAAGTGTTGCGCATGGCCATGGGTCAAAACCCAAAATTCCGTAGCCCCGGTGAGCATCCCAATCCAACCACTAAAATAGGAAACCTAAAATGGGTGGTGAGTTCGCCTACCAACCAAAATGGGATCCCAATAACGGTTTTGACCCATAGCCACATAGCATTGTCGTGCGGCTGAAATTGCGCACTGCCGAATGTGGGTTGTACAAGGCTGTCATAGCAACCTGGATGTTGCCAAATCCAAGGTGCAAAGACTGCAGAGTGGCAATCAAGACCACCTTGAGGTGCCAACCCCGGACTTCATTGAGCATATTTTGGCAGGGCAGTCCGCCATTTTGGCTTTCGTTTCTTGCGCTTTGCTTTCCGATTGTGGAGCAAGTCAACATGTCCATGCAAAGCTTACCAACCACGTCACAGAGTTCACATAGCTCCTGCTGAGGCAAGGGAGCAGCGGTGGCTCACGCTGCAAAAGGACGCGGTGCTTGGTGTGTAGAAACCGAATCTTAGTCGAACCTGTTCTTGATATACGTGTATTCAAGTCCACTGCGGCAATCTGAACACACCCGTACTGGCTTGAAACCAAGAAGGCTGAAAAGATGCTTCATGCCCCGCCACCTGAGCCACAATCAAAACCCGGGTAAGTGAAGCTTTGTAAGGGACGATCCCAGCCATACATAGCTGCGGATATCCGCCTGCTTAGTTCTTTACATGGTTCTTGGTCGACCATTCTTGTACCGGGTTTTGTGACTCACCTTTCTTTGGAAGGAGTTAGAGACCAAACTCTCAGCAGTGTATGGCGAGCTCAAGGCCATGAGCAAAGAGCATGTACACACAGCATAGGCACACTGGAGCTGGAGCTTTGTGATTGCTCAGGCACGCTCAGCTGAAGCAGGTGCAGCCAGGGATGAGGCTGGCGTGCCATCTGCCTACACTACTTTGTGAGCTTGACCAGGTGCAACGCCTCAACAATGCCTTAGATACCGCTCGTGCTTCTTGCAAGAGCGCGGAGGTTGGGATGTGGAACATAGTCAACCAATTGTCAACAGTCATGCGGATCTACAGCTATCAAAGTTGCATCTGGGCAAAACAATATGCCACCCTGTCAGGCTCGTGCCAGTGCAGCGGAGAAGAGTCAAGCCGAGGCAGGACAAGCGGACGGAGGATTGCTTGGAAGAAGCTGCAGTTGTGAGCTTCGCAGACTGCAGCGCGATGTCGTGCGGCAGAGGGCAATGCAGAGCGCCTAGCTACTAGTTTCTCTTTCTCTCTTGGGTGTGCTTTCACAGAGACCACTTGCTTTGGCCACAGGGTCAGATTCTCTCGCTGCACTCCGCAGGCTCAGCGCCTCGTGACCGAGCTCCAGGCCATGGTTTCTGCATCGAGCCCAGTGCATCGAGCCCAAGCCCAAAGTTTGCGTCTGGCCAGGAGCTCCAAGCGTCTGCCGGCCTGGCAGTGCGCAGGGCGGAGCGCTGTGATGCCGCGGAGGCGGAGGCGTCCAGGCTGCAGAGTGAGCTGGTGAGGCTCCGCGCAGAGGAGATCCGCTGGAGGTCCGAGCAGCAGCTCCATGCCGACCTCGCGGAAGCTGACCGCGAGGCCAGCCGCCGTGCTCAGCAAGCTGAGAGACGTGCGGAGTCGGCCGAGCAAAGGGCCAGCAGTGCCGAGCTGCATGCGAAGGCGCTGGACTCGCAGTTGGCGACGGTCGGGGAGCAGTTGCAAAAGTCGGAGGCAGCACTGGAAGTGGCCCAGGCCGCAGAGCGGCAGTCACAAAGGATGGCGGGTGAGGCCACTTCCAAGCTGGCGGAGACCTCCCAGGAGCTGGCGCGCTGCTCTGACGAGAGCGCTGTCTGGCGGCGCAAGGCAGAGGAGGCCGCCGAGCTGCTGGAGCGGCTGACCGCCGCAGAGCAAACGGCCGCCCTCCTGGCGCAGCAGCTGCAGGCGGAGCGGGCGGAGCTGCGGGCGCAGGGCGAGGAGCTGCGGAGCAGCGAGCTCCGCGCGGCGGCGGCGGCCGCCGCCGCCGAGGCCGCGGAGGCTTCGGCCGCAGAGGCCGCGGGCGTGGACGGCGACCGCCGGGCGGCGGCGGCCGCGGAGCTGGCGGCGGCGGTGGAGGCGCGGTGTGCGCCGCTGGAGGCGGAGGCGCAGCGCAGCCGAGAGGAGGCGCAGGAGGCCCAGCAGGAGGCGAGGCAGCGGCGACTTGAGGCCGAGGCCACCCGCATGGCGCACTACGAGCAGGCCCGTTCGCATAGGTGTCCTTTTTTGGTTGATTTGGTTGAAAAATACAGGGCCCTGGTTTACCTGGTGGTTCAATCAACTACCAGGGCCATCTAATTTCCCAAAAAGGGCACCAATGCCCGTTCGCCTGTTCGACGTGTTCCATAGACGCAACCCAAATGTGCTTCAGGACCGGGAAGTGCAACGCCTGCGCGAGCGTTTGGCAGCTCAGACGGAGGAGCTGGAACGGCTTCAGACGCTGCTAGTGCGGCTCTCAGAAAGGATGACGTCATATTATGCCTCGAGAACAGATCCAATCCCATGTTCAGTATTGACCCAGTTCTTTCCCTCAGGCCATGGGTGGCAGTGCCTGCCTCAAGCTGTGCAAGTCAGCATTATTTACTCTCCGGGACATGTTTTTTTCTTGTTCTGATTCACACCATTTTTTTCCGCTGCATTTAGATCCATACTGACAACGGCGCGTTTGCTAAGTGCTACATTGTCGTTCAGACGTCCACACTGTCAAATTCAGATCTATTGAAAGAAGACAATTACTTGCACCGCTCACTTGGTTTTGGATGAGGTTTCGATGATGTGGCTGCAGCTGCAACTGCTGCAGCCACAGCATACCTCAGACCTCCGCGAAGGATCCGCGACCAGCCAGTGCGGGAGAAGGCTGGGGCAGGAAAGACCTACGGAGGCTTGTGCTGGTGACATGCACATCTGTGCAGGAGGTGACCCCACGAGGACGGCCTGCCTTGCCTCCTTCTGTGGCCGGTTGCCAAGTCCAGGAATGGGTAACTGCATAGCCATGCACGCAAAAGTGAACTGAACTTCTCTTGGCCGAGCCAAGGGACGACGTGCGGCATCTCCTTGTGACAATCCCTTGGCTTTGCCTCAGGACGGGATAGCGGGGAAGCGCGCAGACAGCTGGCGGTGGGTCAAGACCAATGGGATCCAATTTTGGTTGGTAGGTGAATTCACCACCCATTCTTAGTACCTATTTTAGTGGTTGGATTGGGATGATTTTAGGGGATTGGGATGGGATGTTTATTGGGGGATTGGCGTTGGGACAGTCTATTTCCGTGCTTGGATTGGTTGATGTTCTCTAGGGCTTACGGAATTTTGGCTTTTGACCCACCTTCCATTTCCCTTCTTAGGGATTCTTCCTTCCAGAAAGCTTTTGGAATCCCAGGTTGAACACCTCCGGAATCCCAGGTTAATGGCCATATGGCTGTGGCTCCAAATTAGAAAGGAGGGGTGTCCACGTTTCCACTGACCAAGGTTCCATTTTGGTACCTTTTGGTTTGTTGAGCCACAGCCATATCAGGGGCTTGCACGCGCGCCCTGGGTGGCTCAGCGCCAGGTGCCCCGCCGGCCCTCCTCGAAGTCGCAGAGGCGGGGCCAGGGCCCACGGAAGCGGCATCTGGGTATGAACCAAGTGGCACCAAGTGGCATCTGGCCGGAAGCATAGGTGTCCTTTTTGCGTTGATTTTTTTTTGGGTCGAAAAATAGAGGGGCGCTTCCTGGTTTACCTGGTGGTTCTTTCTCAACCAGGGATATCCGTCTATTTTCAAACAAAAAGGACACCTGGCGCGAGGGCCGGAAGGACTGCAAGCCGTGCCTTCTGAGGACCCCGAGCTTTGCGAGCACCGCGCCGGACGAGGAGCGCGCCTGAGCGCGAGAACAACTTCAGCTCAGCTCAGCTCAAAAGCGCGAGCTCTCGAGGAGTTGGGGTTTCTTGGGCAGTATTTTCTCTCCACTGCATTGCGACGACTCTTCTCGTGCATGCGGATGGCCAGTTGGGTAAGCTCGTTAGCTACGTGAGCTGTTGAAGTTACTAGAGTTTTTTCAGAGTCGGGGTAGGGCCGGATCCGAACATCGGACTGGCTGAGAGTGTACACAGCTTGCTTGGGCGATGCAATTTTGTGGATCTCCACAACTCAATGTAAAT